AAGGATCTGGAAGAAATTGCAAGAGTGATGGTGATGAGAGGGGACTTACTCCAGGTTGGCAAGATTGGTTTGTGCTTTGTTATCATGTTGACTCTTCCTCGCAAAAGGGACGTGCCGGTGGTATTCCCTGACCTTCTTCTGCTCTCATGTTAACTCTGGTAAGTGTGTATAAATGGAAGAATAAACATCATACAGCAAATAACAGTTTAGTTTTCAGTTTTTTGTGAAGGCCTGTGTTTCAGGCTGGAAAATGTTTCTGCAGCCCACTTAGATGGGAGTGTTGCTGAACTGCTGTTTCTGGTTATTCGCTCCATATTCCTTTATGTTGTATCAAGCTGTCCAGCCTGTGTTTAGGGATCTGATCCTCACTCTGACACTGCAGGTCACATAGCAAAGCCCCCTGGTAAAGCAGTGTATCTGTCACAATAATATGCTTCCAGTGCACAGAAAAGAAATCCAATAGAAAAGTGACATGATAAAAGATAAGCTGCGTTAAACAAAGACGTTTTCTGTGTATCACACCAAAACATGGTGTATTTCATAACATAGCAGAGCACACTTCATCAGAATCCCAGGGAAGAAGCAAACCTGCTAGAAGAATAACATTTTGGTGCCAGGGAAGTTATGCAGTTAATAGATCTCCACTGTATTTTGCAGAGAGATTTGCAGCTACATTCAGCCTTGGCTAAAATGTAATGGCAACATGTTGTAGGAGCCAGTTCTCCTTAGGGCTTCATATTGCAACAGCGGAGCTATAAACGATGTTATTGAAGTGGTAAGTGTCAAAAGTCAAGCAGGATGTAATTTCAATTGGGAGGTGCTTTTGATTAATCAGCCTGTTTAAATGCTGAGCTGTCCAGGAGAAAAGCCGGTCAGGTTGCTTTTTAGACACTTGAAGGGTAGGAAGTTTGACTGTGCTCTACATGCCCTGTTGCAATGGATCCCGCTCTTTATCCAGAGGCACTCTGGCTAGAGCACAAACTCAGAGAGAGAGTTAGTTTTCCTGCGTACAGCCTTCTCTCACCACTGGCAGCTGCTGATGTGATGCATGCCTTGCTGGGAGGCGCGGCAGATGCATGGGATAAGGACTGTTGGTCTTTGCTCAGCCTGTCTCCTACTAGTACTTCTTGCCCAAGAGAAGCCTCAGCTCAGTGTTTTAAATGGAAACCTTTCCTACCATTGTCAGCCTCTAGTGAAAGAAAAAAAAAAATGAACGTAGTGTTTCATGTTTGCATAGAAGGTTTGGAAAATATAACCTGCAGCGTGTCAGAGACTGACAATCTCTTACAACCTTTTTTATGGGAACTTCCTTTCTGCAGCATTCAAACGAGCAAAGAACTGTTCCACTGTTACTTTTCTGTTTACTTTGGAATGGATCTTTCTATAGCAGAACTGGGATTGTCTCTCAGAGACCAAGCTGTAATTAAAAATCTTGTATATTCTGACTATATGAGGAGAAAAGCCAGTTTTATAAAGATACGCCTCCCTTCTCTGCCCTTGCCTACCCACATCTACCTGTCCCCACTCCAAAAGGAGATTGAAAAGGAAGAGGATGGCTGAGTGGGACAGTGAATGGTGCTCTTGGCTGGCACCAGGAGGGATCATGCCAGCAGCAGAAGGACAGAACTTGGTCTGCAGAGCCCTTCTACCTTGCAGTAGAAAATCCTAATAGAAATTTGTTTTGTTTTATACTTTGAAGTCAATGGGTTGGTTTTCTCTTCCCTCTCCTATTTTTGGAGTCATAAATTTATTATTTTCTGACCATGGAAGGAGGAAATGGTTGAATGCAACTACTCTGTACTGTACAAGAGTGGGAGACCTCCCTGGGCCTGGGGGACAGGGGGGGTGCGCGTGCAGCAAGTGGAGGGGAACATTGGGCAGCGGTGGGACGTGGGTCTGCAGAGTGCTGTCCGTGTGTGGCGAGTGATGAGTGGGAGTTTTCACTATCGGCACTTAACACTGGTGCTCCAGGACCTACGCTGTGTCTGCAGGCTTGCGGGGGAGGCTAAAACAGATTCTTGGCATAAGGTCTTGGATCTTGGATCCTCTTTCCTTAATAGATTGCTCTGTCTCCCTAGTAATACCACTGCAGCTGCAAGCCACGGAGGCATTTTGGCTGAAGTCCTCTCAGTTTAAAGGAGAGAATACTGGATACATCTCCTCAGCAGGAGCATGACTGAATGCTCTCTTTCCACTCCAGCCTGGGAGAGTCCAATTCTGCTGACCTGAGGGACACATCTTCTCATGTCCCAGGCTCTGGAGAAGAGAGAAATAGTGTGTGCAAAAGTTTTTAGTTTATATAGAAAGATTTGAGGTCTCTGGCCAAGAAGCTTTTTTGTGCCTTCTTTGGCTTTTGGAGGTTGCTGAGTTTATTTTTGTCTGTGTGAGCTGGCCTGTTTTTTTAATATATGGCAAAGGTGGCTAGAGTCCTGGATAGACACTTTTTTATATTTCGTATAAATCTAAACAAATACATTAAATAAAGGTCCTTTCACCTCCAGGTTGGTGGTTCAAATCCAGTCGTGCTTGGGAACAGAACTGTTCAAGCAGTAAAAATAAAACATCTCCTGATTTATGAATAGAAGTGTCAAGTTTTGACTTGTTCTGATTACTGGCATCACATTATTTGTGAACATTCAGACAACTGCCAGAAATTCATGAAACACGTTTGTGAATCCCAGAAGTTTCATAAACTTCAGCCTGAGTGATTATTTGCTTTCTGGTGAATAAGTGGGCTGGATAAAGTGGTATAAAAGGAACAGCTAACTAATGCTCAGGTCCCATAGTAATAATAATGAGATGCAAAGACTCTTGTTTCTGTTACACAGGAAAGGGTGGCAGTTTTGCTCCAGTTTACCCCAGGCAATTGCTGTTTGCTCTGGGGAAGTGTTGTTACTAGTTTGAGAAGGCCAAGGAAGAAGGGATCCAGCTTGACTTTCAAATCTTACATTGTTTGCTGGGCCAGCTGCTGGGAGAAAAAAATATCTATTTTTTTGCTTGAAAGGTGAATTGTTACATTGAAGGAACCATAGCAATAATACTGCTAGGTAGTGCTTGTAGAGTATGGGAGGTGGGAAGAAAGCAGGGCTGTGGTTCAGAGATCTGTGCAAGACAGGACAGAGAGCTGCTTTCTGACACGTGAACAAATCAACAGCCCTGTGAATTTGTACTAGCATTAAAGTGCCTTAAAAAGCATGGGGATTTGGCAAATACATATGGATTTCACACCAGGAGTAGAGGTGCCACAATTAGAGCCTAAATTCAAGGCATAGCTGTGCTAAGATGACTCTCTCCCTAGCAGAAACTGCCATACACCTCTTTGTTGGGCATTCAAAAGCTATCAGTGAATTCTGGGCTGTGGGAAACTTGGCTGACAGTGATGGCAGTATGTGGCCTACAGTATTTCAGAGCTACTGAGGGACTAATTGTAAATGACATTTTAAACATTCTTTTTAATGTTCTTTTCCTTCCTCTATGAGAGTCTTTCTATTCTCTCACTGTTTTCTCTCCATCTGCAGAAAGTAAGATTTAGAAAAGGTTATTATAGCTGCTTTGTCACAATATGTAGTACTTGCATGGGGGAAGTTACAGGATAGGGATAACATGGCACGCTTTGCTTCTGCTGCCACTTTGCGTAAGTGTGACTTTAAGACATTACTTTTAATTTCTATTGGTATTATAAATAATTGATCAGGTCCACAATTTATTTGCTAAAGGTTTCAACAGATGCAGTGTAATTAACAGACTGTAATCATTAGGTTTTGGAGAGAGGGTGACATATCAATTTTTTAACTGCGTTTCCGCCTAGAAATACATCCAAGTAGAGATGCCTCAAGAGGGATATACACATGGATGAACGTACTTTGTGCATGCCATTTTATATACATTCTCACTTTGCTTTCCAAGTATTAACATGTGTAAATCCCTTTGGCATGTGTAGATACGTGCAAGTGGGTTGTGCATCTGTAGCATTTATTTGCGTATGAAAGAAAGCATATGTGAAATTGTGTGCACTGAGTTATGCTTGCACTGAGGTCCTTTGAATGTTTGACCTTATGTAGTATCTCTTCAAATCTGCGAAGTGATTCAGTTCCTTTGCCTTAAAAGTAAAGGCAGAGGTGACTTTGGGTAGAGTAATAATGATATTATTTTAGGAAATAAACTTCTGAGGCATAGTGCCCAGTTACATCTCCTTTAATCTAGTAACATGAAAACCACAGAGACGGAAAAACCAGCTTTGGTGGACGAATACAGGTGTAGCTCAGTGCTGCAGGTGTCGAGCTGATACTCAAGCCTCTAGTGAGCACAACCCATTACTGTCAGGGAGAGAGTTTTTTCTACCCACAAAAAGCATAACCCTGTGGCTGTAACACCACACCACAACCCCTTTACTGTTGTAGGTCCCATCTGTTCGATGGACTTGTCTAACAAATTATATTTAGCTCATGGGATCTTGCAGCAGGAGGGACACTGTGGTGCTGTGATGCCCAATCGCCAGCTTTGTGCAGATTAGCGTCAGATGATGTTAGTGCATGCATCTGAGTTTTGAGGGTGATTGAAATACGGAAAAAAAGTTCTGGGGAGATTTGCTTTTCCTTTACATTTTGGGAGAGCTTCTGATGTTTTTGTCTGGTAGCTCCTAATTTCTGCCAATAAATTCTATTTTTTGTGCATGGAAGTAAAGATGATGGCAGCATTTGAAAGCATTTCCTTGCAATGCCAGTTAAACCCCAAGAAGTTCTACCAGGGAAGCAGGTGAGAGCCTTGTGGCAAACTGTGAGGTGGATGCACCTCTAAAGAGCTACCCTTATTTAAAATTTTTTAATAGACAATAAGCAAATGAGCATACTCTTGATTTTCCCCATGCAGGCAAGTGCCCACATGGATTTTTTTTTTTTTTTTTCCCTCTTTTGGAGAAATTGAAGTTTCATTTTGTGTCTTTTAGCTGCTCTAATTCAGGTTTCCTAATGTTATATCACTTTATTTAGGAACAGTGTGGGAGACAAGAATCTGAACTGACTGCTTGATGCTTAAGAAGGTGAATAATGACTTGGAGAAGACCTTGTGCGTATCTTTTGATCTTTGGGCTTCAGACACCCCTTCACCCATAATTAACTTGTGTGTTGACTGATCACCTGAGTGATCAAGGGAGACTCAGTATGTCAGTGGAAACCAGGAAACTATTACTCTATGGCAAAACAGCAATCAAGCCAACTCGTCTATGATACAAATCAGATACCTGCAAGAACAAGTCACGTAATGGCAAGCTGTACTGGAGATAGATGATATCCTAAATCATTATCTTCGATAGCATCAATTATGTTTACAGGGTGAGTAAGACCATGGTATCTTCATGGCAAGTGCTGCATCCAGATAGCAACAGCAGCAGCAACAACAAAAATTAAAATTACAGCATGAATTTCAGGAGGGGCGGTGCACTACACATGACTAGCCAATAAATCAAGACCATCAGTGCATTAGATGGAGTGGAATGTTAATCGTTATCATTCTGTTGTATAAAATGCACAGCTTAGGGTATATAGATCATTTAAAATATATATGAATTTGAAATCAGCCAAAATATATGTCAGGCATTTTTCTTCTTAGAATTATGGTATGTTTTTAAATCGTAAGTGCTTTTCAGGACAAATTTTAGCATGTTCTGCATTCAAATGAAACTTCTATATGTGTAAAGCCCTTGCGTACGCTGCCTGTGAAAGTGAAGGGAATCACTGGATTTATAGGTTCTTTTGCACATTCTGTTAAAGTCAGCCTTTCTGCCTAATGTAGCACAAGGAATAGGAAAGGCTATCATTGCACAACTTTCCATAAAGAGATAGTGTTTACTGTCTGACACATTGCAACTTGTAAACAAAGACTCAAAATAGGTCTGTATTAAAAGAAGGAACTTCAACTGGGAAAGGATTAAGTTAATAACATTTTCTATAATCTCTTTATCAGCATTTCTGTGTCCAGTTTATGATAATAAACAGGCAAAAAAAGATCACGTTTGAGATAGAAGTAAATTTCAATCTGATATGAGTGATGTGCCTCGTAACCAGTTATAATTAGAAGGGAGGCTTCTTACAGCACTGTTCCTCTATAAATCATAACATATATTACCCCAACTTGTACAACAACTATGAAATACGCTATGAAATGTGAAAGTAACGAAATAGGTTCTTTTGTTGCATTTCATTCTCAGAAAAGATGTAATTTGACACAGGGTCATACCTTTTTTTTGAGGGGTTTCTTAATAATAGGGTAAACAGCCCTAGTTCCCTAGAAAACTGTATTAAAATTTCTACTTAGCAATGGCTATTTTGGTTTTTATAGTCACAGTTTGTGCAAACTGAAAGCATTGCGTATTTTGGTATACAGCATCCTTTATTTGTAAGAGTCATAGAATCACAGAATGGGTTGGATCAGAAGGGACCTTGAAGATCATCTCTTTCCACCCCCCCTGCCACGGTCAGGGCCCCCTTCCCCCAGCCCAGGGGGCTCCCAGCCCCGTCCAACCTGGCCTTGAACCCTTCCAGGGAGGGGGCACCCACAGCTGCTCTGGGCACCCTGGGCCAGCGCCTCACCCCCCGCACAGGGAAGAACTTCTTCCTTGTATCTAATCTCAATCTCCCCTCTTTCAATTTAAAACCATTACACCTCTTTCTATCCCCACACCCCCTGATAAAGGGTCCATCCCCACCTTTCCTGTCCCCCCTTTAAGCCCTGGGAGGCCGCTCGAAGGGCTCCCCGGAGCCTTCTCTTCTCCAGGCTGAACCCCCCCAACTCTCTCAGCCCGGCCTCCCAGGGGAGCTGCTCCAGCCCCCCCAGCATCTCCGTGGCCTCCTCTGGCCCCGCTCGAGCAGCTCCGTGTCCTTCTGCTGTTGGGGGCCCCGAGCTGGCCCCAGCACTGCAGGGGGGTCTCCCCAGAGCGGAGCAGAGGGGGAGAATCCCCCCCCTGGCCCTGCTGCCCCCCCTGCTCTGGCTGCAGCCCAGGGCACGGGTGGGTTCTGGGCTGCGAGCGCACGGGGCTGGCTCACGGGCAGTTTTCCAGCCACCAACACCCCCAAGTCCTTCTCTGTAGGGCTGTTCTTAATCCACTCATTGCCCAGCTTGTATCAGTCAATCAAAAAAATCCAAACAGAACTTGACTATGGCGCAAGCTTCATATTGAGCAAAATTTTACACTGAACAAGAAGTCAGAAATACATAATGGTAACTAAATAGATGTGTATTTTCCTTCCTCTTCTGACAGAGTCAGCTTTGACCTGGCCTGGTGCCTACCCACTTTATTCCAGATGTGCCCATAGGGGAAGCAATGATAGGGAAGAAGGCCTTGCTGGCTTGATGCCTAAAAACAAAACAAAAAATAAATAGTAAGATTCTTTGAGTCTTTTTCTTGTATTAAGATCTAAGTCTTTTTCCTATGATACTTTGTTATATTTTTAATAGAAAACGGACGGGTTTATTTCAGAAGTGTGTTCTCTGAAAACCTATGAACCTCTCAGGACTGTTGGTATGGTAGGGCTGTAGCTGCCTCTATTGATCCTAATTTAAAGCTGTAATTGCAAATAAAAACATCATTATATCCCCCAGCTACCTTAATTGAAATGATTGATTCACAGGAGCAAAGCATGATAAGAACTTCTACATGGGCCAAGTGCTTATGGACATTTTAACACCTGCATTTCAGCGTGGACTGGGTTTGTTCTTTTGTAGAAGAATATCATAGGCATTGAGGAGAAACCTTCTCTCTTGTAACATCTGACCTTGTTTCTTGGGCTCCACTTAAAATAAGCCAGGGAACATATCTAGGACTCTGTAAACAGCAGGAGGATCACTGGCTTGGTCTCCCAGATGGTGCAACTGTCTAGAGAAGCCACACGTGTATCAACATGTCAAGGATATGTGCTCTAGTTGTGTGAAGACTAATATAACAGGTTTCTGTAAGTGTAGGACAAATAATATTATGACTGAATCAATTTTCTAGTCTGAAATGGATTAATTATTTACATCTTCACAAACTGCTTTTCTTTCAGTCATCTCCCCATAGATGGAATTTGGGACTTTTTAACCTTATAGTATGGTTTTCTTTTGGTACAGTGTAGAGTAGGATAATGTCAGGTAATTTTCTTCACAGCATCAAACTGCTGTATTCCAGAATTGTTCATTATATTCTGTAACATTTCAGGTTCAGGCCTGAAACCCATGTGGTCTGCAGAATCACTGCCTACACTTTTAACTGTAAGAGATGATCCCGTTGGTCCGTATGTCAGCCTCTTAGCTCTAGCTTACCTCTTGTCTCACACCAAAACTTTTCTGGTCTAAACTAGTTCATTAAATAGGTCCCTCAATTATAAAATAACATAAACAGGTAGAGTATTTTGTGAAGTCCATGTCTGTACAAATATGTAAATGAATTTAGGTAAATCTGACTGAGGTGAATATAGCCCTCATATAAACGGATCAAGTGGTGGATGTCATGGTGAGCCCTGTGCAGGCTGGTGCTACAGGTGTTTTAGCAGCGGGGCTTTAAATCCCTTTCTAAACATCTGTTTGTTATGAGAGATTTGAGGAGGACTGAGAAGACAAGCGTATTTCTCCTCCTCTCAGGGCAGTTTTTGTGAATGAATGTGTTTAGAGCATCTAAGGAGGAATAAAAGTAGATTGTTCTGTTGTTTCTCCTTGCATCTGCCCATATTACAAGATTAGGGCATGCAAAGCATATTAAGTATGTCAAGGTCCTTTGTCATGACTGGTCCTCAGAGAAGATCAACAAAACTCTTTTCCTTAAAGGAAATGGTGGAGATATAAGATACTTTCAGACTAGGAACCTGAAATAAGAAAAAGAGTACTTTTTGCACTGGCATTCCCTCAACCCAGAAGAATGTGACTATTTCATAATAACTCAGGGAGTTGAACACCCAAGACCTTCAAGGTACCAACATTTTTTCAGGGATCTCAGCCCAAGAGATTAGCTCTTCTTTAGCAACTCAGATTATTTTATATTCAGAGCCACATAACTCTACTTATGGTACAGTATAAAAAGGCAGTCATGTCTGCTTAATGTAATCAACTTGGAGGAGTAAATCCGTAGGGCAAGAAATATTTTTATAAATCTTCCATTAAAAATCAATAGGGGAGATAAAAAAAAAAAAAAAAGATTTACCACTATGACTGACTGAAAACAAAAGTGAGATGTCATTCCTCAAGGGAATATATTCTGTCAGGCAGCATTCAAGTATGTGGGACAAACTTAGCTCCTTTAAAAATAAATCAGTATTTTTGAAGAATTAAACAAAACTCTTGTTTATTATATGAAATTAACAATTGTTTTGTCTTCTAGAGGTAAACAAAAGAGCTGAGGGAGTCTCAGTCACTCACTCAGTCTTATGACCTTATGGTCACTGTCCAAAATACCAGCGGTAACATTTCACACTGTAGAGCTAAGAAGAAGAAAAGCAGATACTCAGCAGGGTTAGCCCAGTGTCTTTCCAAGTAATCCCTTATTTTTACAAAACATTTCCATGTGGGAAGCTTGATCACTGAGCAGAAGTGCTGAAAATAGTGTGGCCAGTTCTTTGGGCAGACATTGATATTGACTGGTGAATACCTAAAACAGTTGACAGGCTTTTGCAGTGCTGCTCTGCATGTCTAAATGTAAAACTGATGCCTCGAGCTGAAAATTGATCTATATCATTAAACTCCAACCACAAAATGGGTATCATCATTTGGAAGGGAAGAGGATAGCTGGTATTAGCTCATCTGGTGAAGATAAGTAGCTAGAAAGGGTCTGAAGAACTGTTGCAGATATGAAATCCTTACCCTGGCCTTTGTGAAAAATTGGTTCAAAAGACAAATTTGTAGCATATACTTAGCTATGTAACGGGCCTGAAATGTGACCCTGAATCCAAATCCTTTTCTGCTGGGCAAAGTTGGGATCTGGCTCTTTGCTGACCCTGCAGGCAGGCCTATCTACAGTTAACTAATCTTAGAAAGAGAAAGCAAACAGACTTACTCTTAAGAAAAAGTCTCTCTGTTGTTTTTGTTTTTTTTTTTTTTTTTTTTTTCTTAAGAGAAAATGTGTTGCAGTAATACAGAACCATCATGCTATCTCTGGTTACAGCTGAGTGCCACTACATCAGCAACAGAATATGTACAAATTAAACTGTAACAATGTACCAAGGAGAGGCACAGCAATATCATAAAAATTATCCACAGTACAATATGACTAATGTTGTGTGAAATGCATTCATTGGCGAAATGATGTCTAGGTGTATCTTAAGGAGTTATGCTGATGGAGATAATGGTTATAGAACAGAGATAAAGG